TATATATATAAATAATATATATATACATACATACACACACACACACACACACACACATATATATATATATACAAGAGTTTCTAAGGTATGTCTGAAATCAAAGGCACCGCCTATGCCAACAGCACCGGACCTTTTATTTAGCGTTGAGGACCTTCTCCATGAGGTCAGTCCGTTCTCCGCACGCCTGCAAACAGGCCACTATGATATCATTCCGGGACGTGAACGTTAACGTACTTCCCAATGGGTTGTACGTGTTCATGGCTGCAACGCTTTGCCACCGACTGGGCAGCAGACCTTCGGCGTGCAATGATGTGATGAACCCGCCCAGCGGTTGCTGTCCGTGTTTGCATACGTCCGCAAACACGACGGCCTCGTACCTGTCGATGATTTAGAGGTGTGTGTGTGTGTGTATGTGTGTGAGTGTGTGAATAGACAAGTATATATATATGTTAATAGACAAGTATACATATATGTGAATAGACAAGTATATATATATGTGAATAGACAAGCATATATATATGTGGATAGGTATGTGAATAGACAAGTGTATATATATGTGGATAGGTATGTGAATAGACGAGTGTATATATATGTGAATAGGTATATGAATAGGTATGTGTATATATATGTGAATAGGTATGTGAATAGGTATGTGTATGTGAATTAGAATAGGCAGGTCTATGGGTGTATCACTAGAGGGGAGAGGAGAGGTTGAGTGAAGTGTCGATGCTGCGTGCGTGTACATGTACTTACGTTGAGATCGTTTCCTTGAGTGCTTGTGGCACTGCTGAGAGGTATGGGCTGTCGATGACCACGACGTCAGAGATGCCTAATTCTTCCTTGAGGATGTGTTGTGCTTGTAAAGAAGCCAACACGCCGTTCCTGCGGATAAATAAGGCGAACCATTCAGTCAGATACACGTGGCAGATGGGAAGTAGCATGGAGACACAAAGAGTACTGTCTAGGCCATTGTATTCTCTGTTAGGTTGGTACATACACTACAACGAATAGGTTACACGTAGACACAGAAAAGACGGTTGGATGTGGCGGCAGCAGCCGACCATCGCTTTTATCAGTAGAAACTGCGGGATATACCACGTGGTGTGGCATGGAGTAAAATAGTGCCGAAGGGCGAGTCCTTCGTAAACGTACAGCACAG